ACAACCAATGAAAGTGAAATTATTTTTGAGGACAGATAAATAAAGTTCAACTAATGGACAGCTGGAATCAGTAGGAGTGAAGTAGGAAATATCTAGTCTTCTAATACTTGAAATGTCAAAGGGTATCTGGAATTGTTTAGAGTGGCTTGATATAGAAGAAAAGGATGGAAGAGAAGGAAATCTAGAAGGGAATCCATTAGGGGCAAAGTTTATGTTCTCCCAAGGGTCATCCAAGTTTTGGCTGAGAACTACATATACGTAAAGTTCAAAATAAATTCAACTGTACGAGACAAGTAAGAAAATGCTCAAATATAAATTTGAAGTCAATTCTATAGATAGGGAAGTAAAAGACATATTAGTAAAGTCACATTACAAATAACTTGACAGTGCTTCAAGGTCTAGAAGTTTTCTACCCTTTTCTATAATAACCCATTGGCAATATTGCTCTTCCATTCACAATTATAAACATAATCAATAACATAATGAGTATATTGATCTTTGTTTCCAAGGAAGTGATGACTCAACCAAATAAACTGACTAATGTTCGTGGGGTGGGGAGCAATTAAATTAGCTGATTTTAACCAAAAAAGTACAAAATGAACTTTCTATATAAATACAGTAGAAATCAATGAATCATATGGTCCTTAAGATAGCATGGCCTCATTTAAATCGAATTATTTCTCCCCAGGAAGTTTAAAAATGGAAAAGTTATAAAGCAAATATATAAATTTACTAATTATATTTGAAAGATTCAATGTGCACATATAGATCAGGACAAATTTTTTAAAAAGGTGAATGTAATAATTAATATTAGTTTTTGACCAAATATGATAGCTAATGTGCTGACATAAACCAGTTTGACAGTTTTGATTAAACTGAATAGTTGGGGAGTTTAGATGAAAATGATCATGTGTATTCCATTAGCTTTTCTCTCTAATGGCCAAACACAGGAGTATTGGAACAGAGAAGGTAAGTTTTTTCTTCCTCCTTGAAGATAATGCAGGGAATCTTACCTAAGACTCTGTGAAAAGAATTCATCTATAGGGACAGGTAGCTCTCAGTGGTGGGGAGAGGGCTTAAGGGAGGGCAAAAATGCGACCTGTTAAAGAATATGTACAATTTTGGATAATATTCTGGTTTTTTTTTTTAGGATTTATTTTTATTTTTCTTTGAAAGAGTAACAGAGAGGGAAAGATAGAGACTATCTTCCATCTACTCGTTCAGTCCCCAAAATGGCTGCAATGGCTGGGGCTGGGCTAGGTTGAATCCAGGAACCTGGAAATCCATCTGGATCTCCCATGTGGTGGGAGATCACATAGTGAGTGCATCAACAGGGTGGCATATTGGAAGCAGAGCAGGTGGGACTCAAACTAATGCTCTAATAAAGGATGCTGGCATCACAGGTGGCAGCTTGTCCCACGGTGCCACAATGTCAAGTCCAATGTGTTCTTTCTACAGATTGGGCTCATAGTCTTACACATATTCTCAAAGAAGTCTGAGACTAACCAAAATGTCAGGGATAACTACTCTAAAGGATCTCAGATGGGGGCCAGTGCTGTGGTGCAGCAGGTTAATGCCCTGGCCTGAAATGCCGGTATCCCATATGGCCACCAGTTCGAGTCCCAGCTGCTCCAATTCCTATCCAGCTCTCTGCTAGGGCCTGGGAAGGCAGAAGATGGCCCCTGCACCCACGTGGGAGACCCGGAAGAAGTTCCTGGCTCCTGGCTTTGGATCTGCGCTGCTCCAGCCATTGTGGCCAATTGGGGAGTGAATATCAGATGGAAGACCTCTCTCTCTGCCTCTCCTCTCTGTGTAACTCTGACTTTCAAATAAATAAACAAATCTCAAAAAAAAAAAAAAGGATCTCAGAGAAGTCAGCTAAGGAGACTCAGGCTAAATGAGAGAGCCTGGGTGTGTGAGCTCATGTTGTGTATGGCTATGTTTTGAAGCGCTGTGACAATGAGAGAAAACAATGTTGGGGAGTAAGAATGAATAGAGGTTTGGTGTCCCATGACAAGTTTTTATGCTGTACCATTAGAAGTCAGTCTGTAGGACTGTATGCAGAACTATACAGCTTTACAGTTGTAGACTACTTCCTCCCTCTCTTATTCCCCCTCTTATTTTTTACTGGGATTTTTTTTTTTGACAGGCAGAGTGGACAGTGAGAGAGAGAGACAGAGAGAAAGGTCTTCCTTTGCCGTTGGTTCACCCTCCAATGGCCGCCGCGGCCGGCGCACTGTGGGCCGGCGCACTGCGTTGATCCGATGGCAGGAGCCAGGTACTTCTCCTGGTCTCCCATGGGGTGCAGGACCCAAGCACTTGGGCCATCCTCCACTGCACTCCCTGGCCACAGCAGAGAGCTGGCCTGGAAGAGGGGCAACTGGGACAGAATCCGGCGCCCCGACCGGGACTAGAACCCTGTGTGCCGGCGCCGCAAGGCAGAGGATTAGCCTAGTGAGCCGCGGCGCCGGCTGGGATCTTTTTTCAATTGTAGGACCTCCATCCTTAATGAGTTGGTACTATGAAAACTGCAAATCTTGTTCTCAAACTGTACTCTATATGTTGTGTGTGTGTATGTGTGGGTGCAAACTGTTGAAATCTGTACTTAACATAGAGTTGGTTCCCTGTATATAAAATCAAACTAAAAATGAACCATAATGAAGAAGGGGATGAGAAAGGGTGTAGGAGGTGGGATGGGAGTTGGGGTGGGAGGGTGGGTATGGGGGAAAGAACCACTGTATTCCTAAAGTTGTACCTATGAAAAATGCATTCATTAAATAAGAGCTTTAAAAAAAGAATGAATACAGGGAGGCATTGGACATATTTCAAACTGTCAGAAACTCTAATTTTTCTTTATACTAAGAAAATCATGTTGCAACTATGATCCAAGTCATTCTATTTGATACTTCAAATGACTTTCCATTGAAGGTCATAAAAACTTTGGACTAAAGTGTACATTTGTGAACTGTTGAGGATCCTTGACCAGGAGAGAATCTCATCAATGAATGACAATTGCTCCACCTTAGTTAAATTTACATTTAAATTACAAAAGAAAGGACTAGACCAAACTGGGGATTTCTTATGATTTTCGTTTTGTAACATAACTCTCTTCTCATTGAGGAGTTAACCATAAAGACTAGCTAAATAGACTTTGTTAGATTAACTCTATGAGGGGGCTTCAAAACGTTTGTGGAAAATGTAATTAAAAGATAAGTTTATTTTGGTACCAAAAACCTTGAAATCCATATGCAGTTTTTCCATAATGTGTATTTTGCATGAACTTTTGAAAATCCCCTAGTATAAGTCCAGCAACATAAGGGCTCTGTCTACCTGGCAGCTACTATCTGTATGGCTAGAAACACTCAGATGTTGAATGACTTGTTCAGTGCCCTCATCAGTATTGTATCATACAGAGAGAGTACTCTTGGGGTTTTCAAAACAATGTAGAATATTGTGTACATCATTGCTGAATCCCCGCATATAACCATCTTGGCCTTTCTGTTGACATTTGTTCAATAGGTCCTCAAAGAGATAGTCGTACTGCTAGAAATGACAAGTCTCTGTGAGGTGTGATTCTGAGGTACATGAACATTAGGTTAGGGTGGGGTGCTACAAATTAGTATCTTTCTAGACTCTCTTGATGTGCTTTGTCTTTATAAAGTCTTAACTTTAGACTATGTTTTATTAGCCAAGGGATTTAACAGCTTTCTTCTCTTTGACAGCGTTTGCAATTATAATTAAGAAATGTATTAAAACTAGACTGAATTAAGTTGAAAAAATGGATGGGAGCTTGGGACTAGATTTCCCCAGCTAGGTGTGAAGGAAGAATCCAGTCTAAGAAAAGAGGGGTCGATTCCAAAGCAAGCACACAAACCTGGAAAACTTCAAGGAATGCCCTTACACATTCAAATTTCTATGTGTGAGTGAACAGAAGTGGGAAATGGAAATGACCCAAGACTTCTCATGTGTTTTGACTGGCCTTGATAGTGCTCTGTACATACAAATTGCTCTATCAATGTCTCTGCTGTCCTAGACATGTTTTTTGGTCACTATTTTTTTAGGTCCTCGAGGAGATGCCTAAGGCAAAAACTGTTTCATGGTGTAGTTCAGAGGAAGGCATCAAAATCTTCTGGAACACAGAGAAACATTTAGGCTACAGTAACAAAGGCAAGTGACAGACATAAAGCAGTCATAACTAATTGGAGGGAGGGCTCTACTAATTTACTCAGGGAAAGGAAACATGTTTACTTTTTCCTAATGGGATGAAAGTAGATGTTTCCCCTTTCTTGGACTGCAGAGGCAATATTTTGTACTTTATAGTCTCAGAAAGGGAAAAAATAAGCTGATCAAGCATGGTCTATTTACTTGTAATCTTTGTGTAACTTTAGGATGTGAAATACCAAAGGTATGATTTCCTTACAAAAGGCATCAAAACACTTTTCACTCTCAAGAAAATTCTAGAACAGAGTGAGAAAAATCCAAAGATGAATGCTTTAATCACCATAGGGTAGAGCTTTTAAGGGTAAAGAACTCATTCTTCCTTCCTTATCATGCCATGCAAACATAGGCTTCCATTTTCTTCTGTATGATATGACAACTTCAAAAGATTGGACCTTGAGAACTTAGGAAGTTTTGATTCTGGCAAAACCTGCTAGAATGAAATAGATACTTTTGATTAGTCTTTGTTGTGGCCAGAAGGGGCAAGTGACTTACCTGAGCACTTGGAAGTATTGAGATCCATGTCAGTGACAGCTATGTACACAGGGAAGGCCACACATACAGGGATATCAACACTTCCTGGTTCTGCAACGCAGTGCTCAAGGATTCCTTCAAGTAGTAGTCATGTTGACTTTGTCCCTATTCCTGCATGTGAACTCAGTGCTACAATATGGGCAATTGCATTTTCTGCTCCTTCTGGCAATGCCCTGTCTCTTCACATTATCTTATTCTTGCTTTTTCCTTTATCCACTAAGCAAACAGAGAGATTAGAGGAGACTTACCTTAATTCCAAAATACTAACGGAGTTCCCTGAGGGAAATATTCGCCTTACAAAATTGAAATCACCAACATATACACTGCCATCAGGGCCAGAAGCTAAGGCGACAGGAGCAAAGAGTTTGTTGTTGTGGGCTGGCCCGTTGCAGTTGGTACAGGCTACACTCCTTTGGTGTCCATTACCCATAATGGTTGATATGACTGGGGGCTGCTGGGAAATGAACATGTTTTCTCCATTCCCTTTATGTATGATTCCTATACCCAAGGAAAACAAAAAGAGAGAGAAAAAGAGAAAAAGTTAAAAAGCAATCACCACATAACAATCTCAGCAACACCATAATTTCTCTCATTGCTCAAAGCAGGAAGGAACTTTGGTCTGCGAATAGAGAACTTATGAAGTGCACTGTCCTTGTTTTAGTGAACTGCATAACTGAAACAATAGTAGTATGACACTTTGCCTCAGTTTGCCCATCTGTGAAGTGGAGTACTACAAGCAGTCCCTTTAATGATTATTCTAAATGCCTTAATAAAGCATTTGATGACTAACCTTTAAAGATGTCCTATTCACTTTGGACTCTGAATCATTGGTGACCAATTTTTCATCTTTGGTTGGCTCTCTCCTGATGCCTAGCACACACCTATCTGACTTGAAATTACTCTCACTATGTAACTGGTTCTTGAAAAGAGAGTATCAGTCAATTTTAACATTAACCTTAGCAAAACACAATCATGAAGGCAATCTATTTCTGCGAAAAGGAAAGAAATCCTACTGCTAGAATGCGCTTCAAAGATACACAACAGGGACTTGAATTTTCCACTCTTTTGGACCATATCTCACTATCATCAGTGCAGGAAATAGAGATACTGATTATGAAAATGCTTTGCAGCTCTTCTATTTGGGCAATCTTACTTTTATCTATAGCTTTAACTCTCATCTTTAATGCTAAAACTTTCTCCCATCGAGTTCTCACTTGACGTGCAATGCCCTACTAGAAGTCGTTACATCAATGCTCCACAGGTGTCTCAAAATCAAAAGATTAAAATGGACCTTATTATTTTCTGCACATCCCTATCAAAATCCTGCTGTTTTTCTTGTGTTCCCTACTCATTTCATGATTAGTATCACCTAAGTTATAAATCTGGCTATCACCATGGCTCTTCTTTTTCCTTCATTTTCTAAACCTAATTAATTACTGACTCCAATTGAGTCTAGTCCCTCACGTGGTGAAACCATTTTCTTCTTCCTCTGAGTGGTCATTCTGTTGCAGAATGTCTGCTCTTATTGTTTTAGTTCAGTTTTTCTTAACTTCTCAGTCTCCCGGTCTCCATATGTACCCGTCTCCAAACCATCATCTACACTCCTACCACAGAAATTGTTTCAACCTCTGGCTAAGAACCTTTCAATAGCTCCATATCCCCTAGAGGATAAGGGGCACATTCCTTATTGTTAAAGCACATAAAGTCCTTCAGAATTTGGCCCTTGCCTACTTCTTCAGTTTCTCTTCTCATCACATTCTCATCTGTATCCGAAGTTACAGCCATAGCAAACTATTTAGTTACTTTCATATACTTCTAGTTCTCTCTGCTTCTTTATAAAAATGTTTATTTATGTAATTAATTAATTAATTTATTTGAACAGCAGAGAGAGAGGAGAGAGAGAGAGAGAGAGAGAGAGAGAGAGAGAGAGAAAGTGAGTCTCCCATCCACTGGTTCACTCTCCAAATGGGCAGGTCTGAGCCAGGCCAAAGCCAGGATTCTGGAACACCATCTGGTTCTCCTATGTGAGTAGCAGGGACCCAAGCCCTTGGGCCATCTTCTGCTACCTGACCAGGTATATTAGCAGGGAGCTGGATCAGAAGCAGAGCAGCAGGGACTCAAATGGGTGCTCATAAGGGATGCCAGTGTTGTAGGCTATGCCACAATGCTGGTCCCTCTTCTCTGCCATTGCACATACTATTCTTTTTATCATGAATTCCCTTCTCATGTTGTCTGCTTGGAGACTTTCTACTCACCATTCAAAGCTTGGTTCAAATCTTCCCCAATGCTCATCTAGGCAGAGTTAGTTACTCCCTCCTTTGTGTACCCATAATTTGTTTGCTATAACAACACATTGTATGATAAAATTTTCATCACTTCTTTATCTTCGCCATTAGCACATGAATGAGTGCCTTGAAGGCAGACCCTGTCTTATTCCTTTCTGCATTTTTTTTTTGACAGGCAGAGTGGACAGTGAGAGAGAGAGACAGAGAGAAAGGTCTTCCTTTGCCGTTGGTTCACCCTCCAATGGCCGCCACGGCTGGAGCACTGCGGCCAGCGCACTGTGCTGATCCAATGGCAGGAGCCAGGTGCTTCTCCTGGTCTCCCATGGGGTGCAGGGCCCAAGCACTTGGGCCATCCTCCACTGCACTCCCTGGCCACAGCAGAGAGCTGGCCTGGAAGAGGGGCAACCGGGACAGAATCCGGTGCCCTGACCGGGACTAGAACCCCGTGTGCCGGCACCGCAAAGCGGAGGATTAGCCTAGTGAGCCGCGGCGCCGGCCTCCTTTCTGCATTCTAATACCAATCTCTGCGGCCAAGCCATTTTAAGTGTTCAGTAAATGTTGAAAATAGGCTTTGAATCTCTTGTAGTTTCCTTGTCCAAATCCCAATGATTTTGCAAACCTGCAGAGCCTGTGCCGAAAACCCAGGGAACAAGTACTGCTGTGCTAAATAAGCTCAAGTTAGCCCAGAATGAGCCAGGGCAGGTAAAAGATCCATGTTGTAAGAAAGCATGCCAGTATGTCAGACTGAAGTAAGTGACAACGAATGAATGCAGTTATACTGTGCAGTCTGATTTTTTTTTTCCTCTCGTGGACCCTGCCATCTATCTCCTCTGAATGTCTTTTACGTTCCCTAAACATTTTTTGAAACATCTTCCTCAGTTTTCTTCCAACTTTTGGTCCCACAGTTCTACAATAGGAAAAATATTGCTTATTCAGAAATAATAATGTCCCTGGCAAAAATAAATAAGAGGGTAAAACATGCATACATTGGCATTGATTTAGATTTGGTGTTGGGGGAGGATCTTCCTGGGAGCAGAAACCCCTTCCACAATATAGTATCTGGGTTTCAAACATAAGTATTGTTACTTTTACTCCCAGGGTAATTTCTGGCTACTTTTTCAACACATGATTTGCAGGAGCAGCTGTGAGTTTAAACCCCAACAAATTGGTCTTTCATTAGAGAACTATGAGGTATCTTGAGGATCACCACTTTCTTGCTATTTTATTAATAACTTTATTAGGTGGTAAAGAAATTTCTTAAGATTTAGAATAGTTAATTAAATAAGATTAATGAGGCTGAATTTCATTTCCCACCAAAACAATTAATTGCAGGGTGATCAATATTGCACTTTAAGTGAATTGGGAGGAAGTGAATGTACACTGGAATGACAGTTGCACAACATTATTGAAAAGAATTCTCCTGATGATTGTCAACTGAATGTCCTTCCTACCAATGAGACTATGATATGTTCTTTAATAAATGAGGAAACCACTGTTTAGCATGTCAGTATTTCCGCAATGCACCATAGGATATATCATTCAAAAATCCTTCCAATTATTGGCTTGGAAATACCAGATTTGCTATTAACATCTATTTTCACAGGTAGATCTCCATTTTTTTATATCAGTATAATGGTATAGTTAACAATTACCCTCAAAATGACATGTTATTACCAGGCTCCTGGCAATTTAAAAACTAAAGATGGCTATTCTCAGCCATTCTTCTAAGCCTGCAATTCTAAAACTCCCCTTTTCGATTAGAAAGCCCCGCACTCCATCAAAGAAGAAGAATGATTAAAGGAAATAAAACATAAGGCAATGTACTTTCTGATTACATCTCAACAATTGATGTCTTGCTTTCATGCAAGGTACTAAAGTGCCCGTGTACTGAAATTACCATTCCTGTTTAAAGCTGAAGCAATCAAAACAAAAATGGGCAAACCCCTTTTGTATTGCCCTGGAAAAATAGATCATTTTGAAGGGTGTTTTTGTTGTTTCAAGAATCTGTTTAACCTTCTATTACATGGAACCAAGCCATACCATCTAGCAACAATGATTTAACACCAATTCTTCTGCAAAAGGTTGCTCTGAAAATATTTTGTTTATGTTCCTGGAAATCTTGATCAATTACTGTTGCCTCCATTCTAGTTTATTCTGCCACACATGCTCATTTGGGAAATAGAATCAAATGATCCTAGGATGACACGTATTATTTATATGAAGGCCTACTCCCTGCTAAAGATTGGGTGTTTTGTTTACAATCACAATGAAACCCCACAGAACAGGACCTACTACACATTTTCTCTCCTAAGTTTTCCTTTTCTCTGCCAAAAAGCCAAGTCTGTTCTGCAATAAGGTAAGCACACTTTGAAACACACTACTCATACCCTCCTGCTACCTGATCAGAACTTCTTTTGAAGCTTATAAATAAGTCTGAAATAAAAATTCCCCTTGGAAGCCAGTGGGTAGTGCTTTATGCTGATTTCAAAGAAGAAACCATTTTTCAGACTTATGTACAACAAGGGACACAATACATATTTCTCTTACTCCTTGACTGAGAGGATATAAAAACAAACTGGGAGATATGCCAATGTGATCAATGGAAATTTACTTCTCCTCCCAGTAAAATTATTTGTCGACAAACTACTGGCCTATCCTGGAGGCTAAGTTAAAGGAAATTCTTTATCCATTTCAGACATACGACAACACCCAATTAGTACCTTGGATAGTTCTTTCTAATTTTTAACATTCTGCTGACAGGAAACAACAGTAAACTTGTTTGATAAAGATATATTAAACAGAGACCTCTGTAATGCATGATTCATATGTATACTCATGATGTTAAAGAGGTAAGCTTTCTTAAAAAGTAGTAATATGCACTCTATAATCATTAAGAAGATATATTTTGAAGCAATGATGTTGAAAAACACAAGTTCCCGTGTTTTTATCTCAGTGAAAGTAGGAAGCATCTATACATATCAGGTATTAACAGTCCTCCACCAGCAATGGTTAATTGTCAGATAAACGCTGCAAGTGAAATGACAAATGGTCTGAAAACACTGCCTACTGCAAACTACTCACTGCATAATGATTGTGGAGCCAAAGAAAAACTTAAGCATAGAATGGCAGCTGACATCCAATCTAATTATAGGTGCCTTTTTAACCAGTGAGAGGAAATTGAGGGGAGATAGATTCTTGTTTCTAATCTGCTGTCTGTCTCAGATCAAAAAAGCTGGGTGCCTTAAGAGTTCGGCTGTTTCCAGAGAGAAGAGGAGTGGGGGAATTTGGCAAGAAGTCGCTCTTGCCTTAATCAGTCAGAAAAGACCATCTGACCTGAGGGGGAAAGAGCATTGCTTTCGAAATTGGTGTTCCCAAAGCTGCGCCATCACACTTATCATTCCTGCTTCTGAAACTGCCTTTGTGGGTGGAATTTAGACTCCGAAAATGTCCCAGGAGAGGTGTTCGTGTCCAAGGTCAGTCTGGTTTTAGATCTCTTTCCTGGCAAGTGTGACCAATTCTTGGTTAGAAACACAATGCAACTACAACTGAGATGCTAAAATGAACAAATGTTTCCTTTAAAACAACTATTCTGACAGTAGGGCCCTTTTTTTAAAAAAAAATCAGAATAAAACTTTCAGAAAGGTAGAGACAGAAAGTAGATTTAATGGGGCTGCAGGTGAGCAAAGATCTTTTGGGGGTGATAAAAATATCCTAAAACTGGGTTGTGGTGATGGTTGTACAAGTACAAATTTACTAAAAGTCATTGAAATGTACCCTTCAACTGGGTGAATTTCATGCTGTATAAATTTTACTTCAAAAAGCTATTAAAAATTCTCAGAAACAACTTGGTTCTTAATACCTCAAAACTAATTACTGGTGAATTACGGGTAGAGAAAATACATTTGGAAATTGGGTAGCCCCCAAAGCCAACTTTCTGAATGGCTCCCCTCTGTTCTGAAGTCTGTGTGAAGTAAATGGTAAGAGGATACAGGACTGGGAGCGCACAGCTGGGGGTTGGCTCGATTGAGGTCATTTCCCACTTTGTGTTTAATGTCAATGACAGGCATTTGAAAGAGACAATCCATATGAGCCAATAAAAGTGAGTGGAAAAGAAACCGCTGCTCAAAATGTCAAACTCTTTCAAATCAAAACAAAAAACCTAATAATTTAATAAGTGGCATCTGCCCTTTCGTTTTTGTACTTTTAAAACTGTGGCTCTCCTTTTGACAACAGAAAAAAAAAGTTGACATTTTATATCTGGGCCTGAATCTTTACTCTTAAAAACTAAACAATTTGAAATGGAATTCGGGATTTTCTTTGAAGGAGGGGGAAGGAGGGATAGTGGAGTTAGACAATAATGGACTCATCTACCTTCAGGGTCCCACTCTGTTACTTTGGTAGGGAATCTCATTGTGTGGTTGAAGCAAATTTGGTTAGCTTTGCCAATGAACATTTTTCAGCCTGTGTGACTGGTTGGCAGGGCTAATTTGACTGTGGTATGAAATTAAGTAAGATCATTGGAATGATCAGAAAATGAATCTCTTAGCTTTACTCAGATCACAGGTTACAAGATAATCCAGCCTAAGCTAGCTGTTCACAAAGGAAGGATGGGTACACGATTGGATGGACGGAAAAGTGTAGCTGTCCCGATACACTCCCATCTCCAGTTCTGGAAAAATAATCCAAAGTACATGTCTTACTTTAGCTTGTTCAGAAAATGCCTTTTTAGATGGAAAGGAGTGTGATTCCACAGTACATGTTCAGAGGAATGTGGGATGGAAACACCAACGACTGGTTTCCCAGTAGGATGCAAAAGGAACTGGAAGAATTTGTATGAAAAAACTATCATCAGTGTAGGAAAATCAGTTTGTCTAGGTGAAGCATGGACTCAGGGTCCATCTGTGCTTGTTTCTCCTGATTTATTTTCGACTTAAATCACAAACTAGGAAGAAGGGACAGCAAGAAAAGTGGTCCAAAATAGGGAGAAAATAAAGAGGAGTAGTCTGATTCTTACCACACTCACATTAATTCAAAAATCAAATTATTGTGCTTCAAAGGAAACATACTGATGGGTTCATCTCTAAATAGTGTTCTTGAAGGTGATTTTTCTCTTGTACTTTTCCAAATTTTCTGCAATGAATATGTATTTGACAGCATTAGGGAAACACTATTCATACAGATTTTTGAAAGCAGCTTACCACTTTGAGGATTCAAAATGTGATGCTTATTCAATGACCAGCCTCCCAGGTTAGAAGCATCCATCTCAAAACCTTGCAAAACGACTGTCCTTTGCTCCCAGAGAATAAAATCCGGGCATGTCTCATATTCATATCCCACAGACACTGCAAACAAAAGTTAACAGCACATTAGAAAACCGTAAATATTTGATTCATGTTTACAGTGGTTGATAATTTTGTGGATATCACATTTGCTACTGAATTCTGATTTGGGTTGAAATTAGATGGCAAATGTCTTTCACTGAGCACAGTACAAAATTATACCTAGCTTAGCATTGGTTACCCATAAGTTATCAGTTAAGTGCTTATTGTATAAATATATGAAGCAGTTCATTAATGAGTGCTTCAATTAGGTGGGAACTACATTAGGAGTTTTTATATCAGGAGAAAACTGCATGTATTTCACATTTTTGGTACCAAAATAAACTCATCCTAACTTATTATAGCATGTCTGAACAGGATCCGGTTGGAGGAACTAAGAAGGATAAGACATAATTTTGGAAAGAGCCTCTATCAGAGCAACATGAATCCTGACACAACTGAAGCAAGACAAAAAACACCCATCAAATTTACGGTTGAAGTTTAGGTGGAAGAATGGTGAAAATCATGGATGCTTTATGGCAAGTTTATGGGAACAATGTCCCAGAGAAATAATCAGTTTACAAATGGATACCACAAGAAGGGCTAGACAAGGCTGAAGATAAAGCCCACAGCAGCAGATTATCCACATCAGTTTTATAGGAAATAATTCATCTTGTTCGTATCTTAATTGAAGAGGACTGATGATTAAAACCAGAAACAACAGCCAACAGCATAGGTAGCTCAACTGGTCCAGCAGACAATATTCTGACTAAATAATGAAAGTGAGCCAAACTTTCAACTCAGTGATCTGGACCCAAACTGTTACACCCAGATCAGGTGCAGAAAAGAGCAGAGCTTTCAATGGAAATTTTAAATAATGCTTCAGATCAAGATCCTGAAACATGTCTTTGAAGCATTATAACCGGAGATGAGACATGGCTTTATTAGTAGGATCCTGAAGACAAAACACAATCAAGAGGTGGAAGTGGTCCAGTCAAAACAATACGGATCAGTCAAGAGCAAAGGTCAATGCAGCAGTGCTTTTTGGGATGCTCAAGGCATTTTGTTTGTGGAGTTTCTAGAGGGCCAGAGAATGATAACATCTGCTCTTAGGAGAGCATCTTGAAAAATTAGCTAAAGCTCTAGCATAAAAATGCCTGTAAAATCTTCACCAGAGGGTTTTTCTTCACTATGACAGTACCTAGGCTCATTCTTCTCATCAAACAAGGGCAGTTTTGTAAGAGTTTTCATGGCGAATCATTAGGCATCCACCTAAGTCCTCATTTGGTGCCTTCTGACGTCTTTTTGTTTTCTAATCTTTATTTTTTTTAAAGATTTATTTTATTTATTTGAAAGACAGAGTTACAGAGAGAGGTAGAGACAGAGAGAGGTCTTCCATCCACTGGCCCACTCCCCAGATGGCCGCAACAGCTGGAGCTGTGCTGATCTGAAGCCAGGAGCCTCCCCCAGGTCTCCCACATGGGTGTAGGAGACCAAGCACTTGGGCCATCTTTTACTGCTTTCCCAGGCCATAGCAGAGAGCTGGATTGGAAGTGGAGCAGCTGGGACTCAAACCTGCGTCCATATGGGATGCCGGCGCTTCAGGCCAGGGCATTAACCTGCTGTGCCATAGCACCAGCCCCTCTAATCTTAAAATTTCCTTAAAAAGCACACCCTTTTTTTAAAAAAAAAAAACTTTTATTTAATGAATATAAATTTCCAAAGTACAGAATATGGATTACAATGGCTTTCCCCCCATAACGTCCCTCCCACCCGCAACCCTCCCCTTTCCCACTCCCTCTCCCCTTCCATTCACATCAAGATTCATTTTCGTTTCTCTTTATATACAGAAGATCAGTTTAGCATACATTAAGTAAAGATTTCAACAGTTTGCTCCCACACAGAAACATAAACTGAATAATACTGTTTGAGTACTAGTTATAGCGTTAAATCTCAATGTACAGCAAACTAAGGACAAAGATCCTACATGAGGAGTAAGTGCACAGTGACTCCTGTTGTTGACTTAACAAATTGACACTCTTGTTTATGGCATCAGTAATCACCTTAGGCTCTTGTCATGAGCTGCCAAGGCTATGGAATTCCCCTGAGTTCACTGACTCTGATAATTTTTAGACAAGGCCATGGTCAAAGTGGAAGTTCTCTCCTCCCTTCAGAGAAAGGTACCTCCTTCTTTGATGACCCATTCTTTCCACTGGGATCTCACTCGCAGAGATCTTTCATTTAGGTTTTTTTTTTTTTTTGCCAGAGTGTCTTGGCTTTCCATGCCTGAAATACTCTCATGGGCTTTTCAGCCAGATCCGCATGCCTTAAGGGCTGATTCTGAGGCCAGAGTGCTGTTTAGAACATCTGCCATTCTATGGGTCTGCTGTGTATCTCACTTCCCATGTTGGATCATTCTCTCCCTTTTTGATTCTATCAGCTAGTATTTGCAGACACTATTCTTGTTTCTGTGATCCCTTTGGTTCTTAGTCCTATCATTATGATCAATTGTGAACAGAAATTGATCACTGGGACTAGTGAGATGGCATTGGTACATGCCACCTTGATGGGATTGAATTGGTATCCCTGGTATGTTTGTGACTCTACCGTTTGAGGTAAGTCAGCTTGAGCATGTCCCGAATTGCACATCTCTTCCCTCTCTTATTCCCACTCTTATATTTAACAGCGATCACTTATCAGTTAAGTTTCAGCACTTAAGAAGAATTGTGTATTGATTATAGTATTCAACCAAAAGTATTAAGTAGAACAAACAAAAAAAATACTAAGAGGGATAACATATTAAGCTGCTCATCAACAGCCTTCAGGGTGAGGGCTAATCAAGTCACCGTTTCTCATAGTGTTCATTTCACTTTAACAGGTTTCCTTTTTGGTGCTCAGTTAGTTGTCACCTATCAAGGAGAACAAGTGGTATTTGTCCCTTTGGGATTGGCTTATTTCACTCAGCATAATGTTTTCCAAATTCCTAACAGGGATCCCTTTTCAGTTAAAATTTAAACACCTAAGAATAATTGTGTGTTAATTACAGAGTTCGACTTTTTTGTTTAAAAAAAAAAAAGACTTATTAATTTACTTAAAAGGCAGAGTTACAGAGAGGCAGAGGTATAGAGAGAGACAGAGAGAAGTCTTCCATCTGCTGGTTCACTCCCCAAATGGCCACAATGGCAATAGTTAGGCCTCTCTGAAGCCAGGAACCAGGAACTTCATCTAGGTCTCCCAATGGTGCAGGGGCCCAAGATTTGGGCCATCCTTTACTGCTTTCTCAGGCCATAACAGAGGGCTAGATCGGAAGTGGAGCAGCTGGGTCTCAAACCAGGGCTCATGTGGGATGCTGGCACTGCTGGTGGCAGCTTAACCCACTATGCCACAGTGCCAGCCCAAGAGCACCCACTTTCCTTCAGTTCATAATGCAAATAAGACTGCATTGGAATGGCTAAATTCCCAGGAGTCTCGGTTCCTTAGGATGAACTTAATGGCTGGTATCATTGCTTACAAAAGTGTTGTGAACTTGATAGAGCTTTTGTTGAGAAATACAAGTTTATATTTTGAACATTTCTCTCTTAATTCTGTTTCCCACAAACATTTTGAAACCTCATATGTTTATGGACATTAATCTTTATTTTGGGCTTTTTGTTGTTGAGTGCGCTGTAAAACTGAAAAGAGAAACTCCCTGCTGGATCCAGCTATGACAATATAATTTCTCTCTCTACCTTTGCAGGAGAAATGCAGGGAAGGCTCATCTCTTACCTACAAAATACACTCAGGAAGCTGGCTTTGGAGTACTGGGTCACTTTATCCAACACATGACTACACATGAAAGGAATCAAAATCGATTTGCTCAGTTAATATTTTAGCCTGTGCTAACTGGCCTTTAGTTTACTGAAAAGACTGATTTTGCTTAGAGCGCTGCAAGGGTAAATTCTACTTTGTGCACATTAGGTTTGGTTTCTGCATATAGCTAACCAATGGGACATCACCTAACATTTGGCTTCAACTCCTATGAAGCACAGATGTTGTGCATTAAACTTGGAACCCTGGTATGCTGCAGAAACGGAAAGTGCAGAATGTGGTAGCTTGGGGGTCTCTGCTCTACTGAAATATGCATATCTTAAGTATACCAAGTCTTGGCCATTTTCTCAGTTGGCAAACCTGCTTACCTGTTGGAACCCCAAATATCTGATTCTTGATTTCAAAATATTTTCTATCCTTATAATGTTTGAAGTCTGATTGCACTGGTTCATTACACTGCATATCCTGAAGCTGCTTTCCCCCTTTCTGGCAGCTTAAAGTAGCCCCCAGTTGGTCTGTAATCTGTCATTGCTTTCAAGTACCTGCCTTTACCTGACTCTTTAACAGCCCCTGGAGAGCTCTGTCCTTTGTCATTTGCACAGGAAAACTGTTAATGAAAACAGATACTTAAATGCCAGCAAAATAGGTTCAAAAATGAAAAATTAAAGCAAACTAGTTTTGGTTTGGGGCATTAGGTAAAGGGAAACAATAATAATTTTATCCAAACTTATGTGTGTGTATATGAGAGAGAGAGGAAAACACACACACACACACACACACACACACGAGTGCACAGATAAGACTGAAAGTCTTTATGACTTTATGATTATCAATACACAATTCTCTACCTTTGTGGTCAGATATGGCCAATTTGAAGTTGTAGTCTGGCTTATCTTTGTCCTCAACTGCCAAAAACTTATAATAGGGATCAAGGTCATCTTCATGGAGGTGGCCCATACTTAGTAGGGTTCCCTACTTGGGTTAATGCTTTGCTGTCACTGTCTTGAAACTATTAATATTTTTAAAATAAGAGGCTCTATAGTTTCATTTTCATTTCACTGTTCCCTGCAACATATGCAGTTGGTCCTGATGGGGGGTGTCCTTCTACCAGCTGTCAGCTGGTGAAGACTCATGGCATGCAGTCATTTTAATATTAGTCTCAAAAAAGGCTTATTGTCAAAGGAGATGAATGGGAATAGGGGAGCCTAATCACAAAA